AAGTGAAGCGGTCTACACGTTCTACTACTTCACGCCCTATCACTAGTTCAGGTGAAGTCGCAAGCCAATCCTGAAGCAACATTTTGAATTTCGAGGTGGAAAGCCGCATCCCGAACATGCTTGCATTGTTGCTCAGCGTGGTCAGAAGACTATGCATTTTGTCAGCGTCTTCACCAAATAGAACTATGTCTCAGTTACCGATTGGCATACGATCATTATTTCTGTATAAGTTTCGTGCTTCCTAATTTCAATGTTTGCCTAATAAAGATTACTTCATGATGTGATACTTACTGTCAACATTATTAATAACACCAGCTGACAACCAATACGAATACATGGGATGGTAGGATTATTTCACTCCTATAGTCTATGAAGCAACTTAACAAGAAAAAAAAGATCGGAGCTTAATTTCAAGTAGTGTGATTAGACCTCAAGTTGAATTCTATAAGTTCTTCAGATTAGAATGTTACATAATGAATGATATTGGTCATCAACTTAATCCCCCATAAACCCAATATGAAGCCAATCATATTTGAGTAGAGCGCGTTCACAAAGTTGATATGCTTATTTGCTACAACTTTTAATGACAAACTATCACAGAATCTGTCACACAACGAGCTGGAATGATGGATTTGCTCGAAGAAAACAAATCGATAACCTACAACAACAAAAGCCTACTAATTGTGATTAAGTACAAAGTATTCGATTAAAATAGTATAAAAAAACTATGTGCTGCCCTATCATCAGTTAATAAACGAATCATCAACGTTCAAGGTCATTCACTCACTCAGCCACTTAATGAACGCAACCAATAATTATTCTCACATCTAAACCAATCACAATAAATGTTAACCCAGAATCCAGAAAAATCTAATTTAATGAATTTTTAAATTACACACCTATCTTATAGCCATTTTTATTTAGAAAAAAAACGTAAGTTGCACTTTAATTAAAACAAATGAATTATTCTCTTATTCATTGATGAATTTACAGTAGAAGTACAGAGAAGAAAAAAAAGCTATTGAAATATGCCCATTATTGTTGAACAAAAGATGATGTCCTAAATTATTCACACGCACTCAAAAGATGCATAGAACAAAATGAATAGAGTACATTTTTTAAAAAAAGAGCAATGCTTGAAAAATTCATGAATAAGAAAAGTATATTTTTTTCCTTATAGGGTTACGGAAATCGTTGTTTCTCACTGAAATCATGAATCAATCATTCTTAGACCACATTTAGAAAGCTAGAAGTACTATCCAACTGTCAAGTCCTATTATGTGACTCACCAGTAGCGCGCACCCGTGACCCCTGCTTTTGGAGGGATTCGAACCCGGAACATCAGTCTTGCGAGCAAATGCTTAACCTCTGGACCACTGAGCCAGCATCCAGCGGTGTTAATGTTTAACTCTGATCAATCTAAGGTTTTACGCAACCTCACCCATTATCTTCGGTAGTTACTGCTTACAGCCAACAAAGTTGAACCTAACTGGTCACGTCTTCTCACTAGAGCTCCGAGAATTTCCTCACGAGGCTAGTCACTAGAGAGCACCTTGTATGCTATTCATGATAGAGTTATGGAGATTGTTGCGTAAGTTGGGTGAGGTTGCGCATGTATCTGGATTCCAAAATGAGTGTTATGGCTCATACTAAGACTCGAATCTAGTACGTTTCAATTGAAACGACTAATGCATTGTTTACTGAGATTCTGAGTTTAAATAGCAACTAACTGTATATGAACAAGTAGGAAAGTAGTAGTATTATCAGCGATTTTTAATTTCTTATATTCAGTCAAGTAGTTAGTCAGCTACAACGTAGAACTTCGTACATACGTACGTAAATCAGTTCAAGTTGTCATACCACATTATCAAAGAGAGATGGAATTGTCACTTCAGATCCCATAGTGGTAAATGTCGTAGAAGTATTAGCGGTTATCAAAAAGATTAGTGCTCGGAGATATCATTCAACAAGTATAATCCAACGAAGTAAATTTTAAAAAAAGGCTATGAGGAATTTAGAAGACTAGAATTTGAGAGAAGACAATGAATGGATGCATCTACGCTATTGTAAAAGATTCTGAGCCATATCACATTCAAAGCCTCTAACAGTCTGTTACTATCGAACCCTAATATTCTTCATTACCATTAATACCTCTTCTATCTCCATCATTATGGGATTTGATTTAACATTTGCGTCTCTGTCCAGGAACACAACTATTGTCGGACATCTAAATGTGTGTCTATGTTCCAGGACCTGTTGTAGTGTGAAGATGTGATCTATAGAGCCACGTCCGGGTCTGAAACCAGATTGGTTTTCTCAACTCTGCTCTTCACGAGCTCTAGTTAGGGGTCTAAGTGTAATCGAGGCTAACAATTTAGAAACTATATTAGTTAGACTTATTCCCTTGTGATTGTCACAAGAGGACTTTTGTCCTTTCTTGTAATATTGGGACAAATAGCGACTGAGACCAGTCAGATGGGATTATGTCCAGTTCCCAGATTCTACCTAAGATTTTGGTCAGTCTAACCGTTAAAACTGGACCACCATCCTTAAATATCTCAGGGGTAAGCCTATCAGGACCTGGTGCTCTACCTCCCATTAGATTTTCTACAGCTTTCTCAACTTCGTGTAGACTAGGAGGACTTAAATCGATTTGCCATTTAGGATGACTGGGGATCGTGGGCAACCGAAGTGTGGCTGAAGACCTGTTGAACTGGTCCCTAAAGTGTTCTGTCCATCGGTCCAATCTCCTGGATTGAGAATAAATGATACAGCCATCCTTTTCTGAGATAGTCTCACTCACATTCAGGTTCTTAATACCGGTTTCTTTGATAAGGCGTATGAATAATCAGTCAGATGCAACGTAGAACTTCGTACGTAAGTACATCAGTTCGTGTTGCCATACCACATCAGCACAGAGATGTAATTGTCAATTCAAATCCAATAGTAGGAGAGGTAGCAAAGGTAACAGAAGTAATCGAAGAGGTTAGGATTAGAAGATATTATTCAAGAAGTATGATTCAGTGAGAAAAGTTTAGAAAGTCAAAACTAGAGATGTTGAAGAATCCAGAAGATTAGGATTTGAGAGAACACAAAGAATAAATGCACTGGCGCCATTGCGAACGATTTTGAGCCATGTCATTCAAGATCTCTAACCATCGATTATTATCATCTCGCGGACCCCAACCAGGTAGTCGACAATTACCGACATGGCTCAGTCCACTTGTCAATGACTTCATGGATTTCTGCCATGTTTTGGTTTAGCCGCCCCTAACTTTCTTCCGACCTACTCCTACACTACAAAACAAGGCTGGACGAGGCAGTCGGTGATTGGGCATACGAATCACATGTCTCAACCACCTCAACTGATGAAGTTTCAATACTTCATCTATTGATCTGCCGTCCTTACCTAGTACTCGTTTCCTAACGACAGCATTGCTTACTCGGTTGTCTCAAGATATACGAGCAATGCTTCGAAGACACCTATGATCGAAAACCAGTAACCTACGAATATCTTCTACTCTTAACGGCCATGTTTCACAGCCATATAGGCGTATGAATAATTCGAATATAACTTACTCTTTTGAATACCCATAATGTAACACCGGGTAAATGTAACTACATACTACATACATACATACATACGTAAACCATTCAACAAAAGATGTGAAACTCACGACAAAATGAAATATTGTTATTTAATTGTAAATTTTTGTTTTTAAAAAAACTAATAATCAATAAACAATATCGAATAGTTTATTCAATTCAATGAACACAACTTACATCCAAAATGCCATAAATCCTTGACGTGTAATCCAACCGATTGAATTTGTTGCCACATATAAACCCATATCGGTTACACGATTTAATTGATCCTCTGGACAAGTGGCAAGTAATTCACTTAACTCTACTGTAGACAAGCATCCATCTCGATCCTACATGCGGAATAATGAAACATCAACAAACATAAACATGATAAATAAACAAAGTTTAATTGTTTATTTATGAAGAAATATAATTATCGAACTGAAGAAGAAAGTCTAGGACAGAGCAGGAGGCTAGAGGATGCTAGTCAATGGCCTATGCTCGATTCGGAGTAACAGGTGTGCGATGCGCATCATATTTCAATAAGTTTTGCATCAATAATTATTGACGTTTGTCGAATAATAAACACTGAAACACATTAACATCCACAACAACACCAAACAATGAATGCATTATTGGACAAACACCAAAAAAAAGAACTCACCAAGTCATATTTATTGAATAATGCATTTAAAAATTGTAGTCCCATTGGTGATATTTCTGTACTACATCCAGAAGCAATACAAAATCTAATAAAACATAAAAAAGGATTTCATCATCAACAACAACAACAAAATGCATGATTTTCCTTGCACCTTATTGATTAATCATAACTTGATACACAGAAAACATTTTGATTTTTATAAATGACATGATCGTCGTCTCATTGATATTACGTGAATGTTAAGTGATTATCAGTGAAATAAAGTTTTTTACGGCAGAGTTTTTTTGGAGGTTTGTGTTTTTACACATTTGAAATCAGCAATCAATCATTGTTAGACCAACATTAAAAACCTGGAAGCACTGGACGGCCGTTTCGTCCGGGTATGGGACTAGTTCATCAGCAGTGCGCATCCACAACTCCTGCACCTCGCAGGATTCGAACCCGGCATCCGATGGATGCCGGCCCATTGGTCCTATGGTTAGGCGTCCGCGCACAATATCGAAGGTCCAGGGTTCGAATCCTGCGAGGCGCAGGAGTCGTGGATGCGCACTACTGATGAGTCCTATAACAGGACTTGACGGCCGTCCAGCGCTTCCAGGCTTCTAATGATGGTCTAACAATGATTGATTGATGATTTCAAATGTGTAGAAATAACGAGTGTTGTTTTATGTTTTGCGGGAACTTGTTATTGGTCATAAGTTATATATATATATATTGACAATATAACTTTGGGGAAACTTTGTTACAAGAGATTTGAAAACACTATGCTAAGTCATAACATGTTTTGACCGATTTACTACTAGCGATGTTATGATGTGATCTCAGTGGGGTCAATACAATCAATCAAGACAAAATCACACTGATCATAATATTACACAGAGTTATATGTTTTTTTCCTACACTAGATCATAGGAATATTAGAAATCGATGCGTGATCTACAATCAGTAAAATGACTTATCTCTATGATACACATTAGAATATATTTAAGCGAATAATATTGCTTTCGATTAGAAAGTTATCAGGCTTTATACTCTAATATACATAAATATTTATGTATGAAAATGTTAAACCAATCAAGGCAATTTATGAGTCAATCATCGCAATGAAATGAAATAGATTATTACGTTACTGCACATAATAGACAAAAGTAAAAGTTGATAATAGTTGGGAGACAGGTGTACTAAGGATAGTAATGGTAAGAATAAATATTCATGTATATTAGAGTATAAAACCTGATGACGATCTAATTGAAAACAGTAATATTGTGTTCGCTTCTACGTGAGTTGTTCTAATGTTGTCCAATTTAAGATATATTCAGACCATGTAACAGAATACAAATCAAAATCAAACAAACTTTAGTCTTATTCGTAAGGAGATCGTAACTTAATCACACTTGATAATAATAATAATAATAATAATAATAATAATAATAATAATAATAAACTTAAAAAAAGTCGAATAAAATCATTCCGTTTGTTTTTTAATTTAAATTAACAATTTGACGAAAATGAACAAAATCATTCAGTCAGTCAGTCAGTTACAACGTAGAACTTCATAAATACGTACATCAGTTCATTTTGCCATACCACATTAGCACAGAGATATAATTGTCAATTCAAATCCCATAACATTAGTAGAGGTAGTAAAAGTTTTAGTAGTAATCGAAGAGATTAGAATTAGAAGATATTATTCAAGAAGTATAATTCAGTGAGGTAAATTTAAAAAGAGAAAGATAAAGGTAATGAGGAATTCAGAAGGTTAGAATTTCATAGAATATAAAGACTAAATGCATCTGCGCCATTGCAAACGATTCTGAGCCATCTCACATTCAAGGTCTCTAACCATTGATTACTATCACCGCGCAGACCTCAACCTGGTAGTCGACACCTACCGACATGACTCACTTTACTTGTCAGTGACTTCATGGATTTCTGCCATGTTTTGGTCTGGCCGCCCCCAGCTTTCATCCAACTTATTCCTACATCGCAAAACATAGTTCGTTGAGGCAGTCGGTATTCGGGAATTCGTAACACATGTCCCAACCACCTCAACGGATGATGTTTCAATACTTCATCTAGTGATCTGACATCCCTACCTAGTACTCGTTTCCTAACGACACCATTGCTTACTCGGTTGTCCGAGGATACAATTTAAAAATTTGATAATAATAATAATATTAAAGAACTTATACTAAGTCAAACAAATATTTATATATATATATATATATATAATACATTCAGCTAGACCACATTTTGTATGTGTATCAATATAATAGTAATAATAAAAATAATACTATTCGATTGCCAAAACTAAAAAGTAGGCAAACTAAAAATTTGAAATATTTTCTTTATAGTCAGTCATGTTAGCCGAACTAGTTACAATGCAGAAATCACATATATGTATGTTTATATGTCTTCGATGAAAGCATAATTTTATACTGACAACCTTGTAAAGAACCAATCAAAATGAAGATAATGTCAAATGTATTTCACGCAACACCTACAATACAGAGATATATCACTTGTTCGCTACTATTAATCAAGTGAAAATACTCGTTAAAATCAATATATAAATTTCTATTATGAAACCGAAAAGTAACTTTAAGAGATGATGCTTAAGCTAAATTACTAAATATAATTGCTCTCAAGACAAATCGTATGGTAAAGTACCTCTTCAGATTCAAGTTCATTGTCAAATGAGTTCAAGAAATTTTGGGGCACAGTTTTGCAGGTTTGCGTTTTTACACATTTGAAATCATCAATCAATCATTGTTAAACCAACATTAGAAACCTGGAAGCACTGGACGGCCGTTTCGTCCTGGTATGGGACTCATCAGCAGTGCGCATCCACGACTCCTGCACCTCGCAGGATTCGAACCCAGGACCTTTAGCATTGTAGGCGAACGTCTTACCATCGGACCACTGGGCCGGCACCCAACGGTGTTAATGTCTAACTCTGATCAATCTAGGGATTTAGCACGACCTACACCCAGCAGTGTAGAACTCCATTGGTCACGTCTTCTCAACTAGAACTCCGAGAATTTCCTCACGAAGCTAGTCACTAGTGAGCACTGTTACGATATTTTGGGCCACAGTTTTGGAGGTTTGCGTTTTTACACATTTGAAATCATCAAGAAAGCTAGATAATGCCCTTCCTTTCTAACTGTTACTCTAAATCTCAACAATAGCTCCCTTAAGTTTGTGTAAATAGTTATAGTTACAAAGTATCGCATCACAGCTGATGGCATTTGGTGATAAGAAACCCTAAGCCTAACTTGATAAACCAACCTCATAATTCCAGCTTAACGTTAAATGCCTAACTCTAAATTCTGTGGGTTGACAATACTTAATTCATATCACTAGACCAACTTTGAATAGCTGAACTTAGCCCTGACCTTTCTTTCACTACAAGGGATAATTTGACATGTGAGGATTGGTTATTCAGGTCAATGCTATTATTCTACGAATATTTTATGGCTCTCAGTTGTTGATTATTTCATAACTGTTCAGCGTTTCCTGATTGGCTGATAGGCTGTAAGGTGATTAGTTTTACCTTTTGCATATGGATTGTATCAGGTAAATTTTATTGTATATTTTCACTGATTAAAACTGTTTACATATTTTATAGTTTGAACTATGTGTTTAGTTACCTTTCTACATGTGAATAATGTTTTTTTTAAAAAGAAATGAACGAAAATTACGCCTTCCATTTAAACTAACCAACAAATGAAACAATGAATCGGAATAATATTTATGAAGTATGCAATTGAACTACTTTTTGTAGGATGATTGGTAGTGTTCTTACGAACACGTTGCTCAAATTAAAGTGGAATACAGTTCAAACTTTAAATTTAGTGCGTTAAAGAAAGAGGTCTTAGTTATTGCAGTAATTCGATTCAATTAATCAACTAGTATTTATAACCACATACAACAAGTTGAATACATAAACCTCTACTCCAATAACAGCTACTACAACTACGTATTATGGACGCAATTCGCAAGGTAGCATATGAGTAGTATACAGCGGAAAGTCACTTAAAAGTTACTACCAGTGACAAAAGTGTCTGGAGATTGAAATGAATAGCGCGACTAGAGTCTATGAAAGACCATAAGAGATTTGAAAGAAGACAGTCAACAACGTGTTTGTATTTCAAATAGATATCCGATTCTGTGTATATAATTTGTCTTCTCAGAATAAACATATATATATATATATATATATATATATATATATATTGCATTGCGGAGTTTTTGTGAAGATTGTTAAGTTTTATTTGTAACCATGAATCGATCAATGTTAGACCACCATTAGAAACCTGGAAGCACTGGACGGCCGTTTCGTCCTGGTATGGGACTCATCAGCAGTGCGCATCCACGACTCCTGCACCTCGCAGGATTCGAACCCAGAACCTTCGGTATTGTGCACGAACGCCCTAACCGTTAGACCACTGAGCCGGTATCTAACGGTGTTAATGTCTAACTTGATCAAATTCACGGAGTTGCGCAACCGCATATATATATATATATATATATATATATATATATATATATATATATATATATTCCATCTGTTCTTGACTTCTTTGCACGTTACATCAGTATTCAATCAATCAATCAATAGCAACGTAGAACTTCATACGTAAATACGTACATCAGTTCATGTTGCCATACCCTATTGGCACAGAGAGATGGAATTGTCGATTCAAATCTCATAGTAGTAGAGGTAGTAAAGGTATTGGCAGTAGTCGGAGAGGTTAGGATTAGAAGATATTATTCAAGAAGTAGAATCTAATGAAACAGACTTAAAAAGATAAAGATCAAGTGACGAAGAATTAAAAAGTTCGAGATTTGAGAGAACACAAAGAATGAATGCACCTGCGCCATTGCAAACGATTTTGAGCCATGTCATTCAAGGTCTCTAACCATCGATTATTACCATCTCGCGGACCCCAACCAGATAGTCGGCATCTACCAACATGACTCAGTCCACTTGTCAGTGACTGCATGGATTTCTGCCATGTTTTGGTCTGGCCACCGCCCACAGCTTTCGTCCAACCTATTGCTACACCGCAAAATATAGCTCGACGAGGCAGTTGGTGGTTGACTCATATTTGTAGTACAGTGTGTTGTACAGTAGAGCATTGAAAAATAGCCAATGCAAGCTTAATTACTTGTTTTGTTTTTTTTCTAAGTGTTTCAGAATAAGTTAAAATCAACGAAACAAACATACTTTGGATAGATAAATTCTTCAGTTAATCTCAAATTATTACCATAACCAAAACGACGTAATACAGTCCATGTAGTTTCATGACGTCCTTTTTGTATAAACATTAAATGTAGGAATAGAAAGCCTATAAAATATGATTATAACAAATAAGTACAGTGTTGAATTAAAACAATTCTGTTAATAGTAAACCATAACATTAGATAAACTTATAGACAGATAAATAGACAAAGAGAATGGGGTCGGAACAAACTGTTATTATACTGTTCTTAAAAACACTTCAACAGTAGCACAAACCGGTATAGATAGATAGTTAATAGGCTAGCAGTGAATTCCAGTTTGTACATTTCATCCTGTTTAAGACTTGTCAATTGATGATTGTACGGTGGGCACAACAGTACGGATGATTACACAAACATGCACAGACACAATAAAACTTTTGCTTCAAATATAATCACATGTTAATCTAATGAGCTACTGGCTTGTGTAGTGATTAGGAATTTCGTTTCGAAAAGTTTGTAAAATGGTAGCGCAGATCAAACAAACTAACATATGACCTTTAACGGTTAATAGTCTACCAGATAATCAGCTGATTACCCAACAGGCTAATAAATTTGCCATCTACAGTAGTAGGATTTATAAAGTACATTGGATAATAGGAACGAATAAAGTGTTGTCAGTTTGCCAAATGTTTAGGACATAATGAAAAGTAACTTTTGGATGAAGTATGACAGTGTTAGGTATATTTCAAAGAAAAAAACAGAAATTATGATTTTTTCTGGGAATTCTCCGCTATTCCTATTTTTACGGTTAAATTAATCAATCAACCAATCATCGTTGACATGGAGGCTATTTTTGAGCAAATACCTTACGATATTATTATCAATGATTAACCATAGATTGTATGTAATTGAATCGATGAGAATCTTCAGTGTTTTATTCTTGAATTCAAAGGGTTATATTCTTACACGTGATGGATCACTGAGTTCGTAGTTGGGCAATATGATGTAGATCGAGTTCGTTTTAGCGCGGATTAAACTATTGCGATCACGTTTCAATAAGTCCACTAGCCTAAATGATTTGAGACGGACTGCATTATAAGTGATATTTTAAATGGTTGTAACAAGTAGTCGGGAAGAAACTATGGATTTAAGCTTCGTGCTAGATGAGACTTATTATCTGGAATCTCTTTAAGTAATTGATGCTCATTGAAGAAATTAACCAGGCGTCATCAGTCTTCATAATATGCGACATTACTGTTAATCTCATAGAAAGTATTAGCCCCCTTAATAGTGTTAAGTACAACTTACTGATAAGTCTACGTCTAGGATCTCCTAGCTATTACTTACAACCAACCATCAAGATACATTTCAGCATAATTTCTAAATCATTACTCAAGGATTCGCAACAGTCAGTCAGTCAGCTGCAACGTAAGAACTTCGTACGTATGTACATAAGTTCATGTTTCCATACCACATTAGCACAGAGATGCAAATGTCAAATCAAATCCCATAATAGTAGAGGTAGTAAAAGTTTTAGTAGTAATCGAAGAGATTAGGATTAGAAGATATTATTCAAGAAGTATAATTCAGTGAGATACGTTTAGAATGAAAAAGGTAGAGGTGCTGACGATTCCAGAAGATCAGAATTTGAGAGAGCTCAACGAATGGATGCACTTGCGCCATTGCAAACGATTTTGAACATGTCGTTCAAGGTCTCTAACCATTGGCGATTTTCATCTCGCGAACCCCAACCAAGTAGCCTACATCTACCAACATGACTCAGTCCACTTGTCAGTGACTTCATGGATTTCAGCCCTGTTTTGGTTTGGCCATCCGTAACTTTCTTACAACCTACTTCTACACCACAAAACATAGCTCGTCACGGCAGTCGGTGGTTAGCCATACGTAACACATGTCCCAAACACTTCAACTGATGAAGATTAAATACTTCATCTATTGATCTGCCATCCTTACCTAGTACTCGTTTCCTAACGACAGCATTGCTTACTCGATTATCCCACGATATACGAGCAATGCTTCTTAAACATCTATGATCGAATACTAGTAACCTACGAACATCTACTCTTAACGGCCATATTTCACAGCCATATAGAAGAACGGAGCGAACTGCTGGGCAGTACAAGGATTCTCACAGCTTCAAAGCATACATATAATCTCACATTTAAAAAAAATCAATATCCTAGAGAGATAAAACCAACAACAACAACCACAAACACACTCTTCTCTCTACGGTAAAATAAATATAAGTCAACTTTCAAATAAAAAAAAGGTTTACTGATCAATATTCACCTTTTTGAGTTAATCCATTCACTGTAACACCACCGGGACATGATTGTTTCACTAATTGTTTCACATCATGTAATGATTGTGCGGTTAATGGAATTGAGAAACATCGTGTTTGAAAGGATTCTAATTCACGATCGGATAAATAACCATCATTATCTGTATCACATATACGAAATATTCTTGTTAAAGCACGTATACACTCTGGTGTAAGCTGATAATAGATGAATACATAAATAAAAAAATAGTTAAATCAATAAAAATGTGTATGGTCACATATGAAACAGTGGAGAGATTGTTCAGTTACATTTGAAATCATGAATCGAAGAAACAAGGTCCATCCAGTACTTCCATATTTCTAATGATGATCTAACATTGAAATCGTGAATTGATCATACTTAGAACACTATTAGAAACCTGGAAGCACTGAACTGGTGTTTTGTCCTGGTATGAGACTCATCAGCGATGCGCATTCACGAACTTTGGTTTTGCGCACGGCGGTCGTGGACGCTCATTGCCGACGAGTCTCATACCAGGACAAAAAGGCAGTCCAGTGCTTCCAGGTTCCTGATGGTGGTTTAACATTGATCGATTCATGATTTTAAAAGTAACTCAACAATCTCCAGAACCTTATAATGAAAACTATTAAAGTTTGTTTACTTATAGATCCATCGTAGTTTTGTCTATCTAACCGACATAATTACATGAGTTACACTAAGGACCAATCATTTAGCATTCACTAGTGTTTTGACTAGGGATTCAAGGAAGTTAGAACTTATGTGATTCGCCAACCGGAATGAATATTGTATACAATGACAGAAGAACAGAAGTTACATTCAACAGTGATTTTATCATTCTATGTAAGATCAATTTGTTTTTCATAAAAAAATGGGAACAATATATATGCAAATGACCAAAATATTTGAAAAACATAATGGAAAAGAGATGAGGCTCAGTCAAATTTTTTTTCATATTGTTCGGTTTTCTTTAACGTGCGTGATCTAATGGCAGAGCTTTCATTGTCGTTTTGAAAAATACCATACATCTCCTTAGTTATTCTGGAGGTATTAAGTCAATATATTCTGATGTTCTTGTTTGTGATGAGTTGTCCTTTTAGGTTTTAATGGGCGTGTTAAATTCGACGTAGAGCACACCATTTTAATGGCCCATGATCTGACTCCAGTTTGGAAGAATAATAGAGCATGCGACTAAGTGAATCTCTCCTTCAATTTCCGTAGATCATGAATAGGCGAACACCGTTTGTACAACGGCAATAATAAGGAGCCAAATATAGTTCTGTGGATGAATTTATTTTATGCAATGGTTCATGCAGACAGACATCAGAATACAAAGCGTACAACGAAACGCGAAGCGAAGTGGAGAGGATCAGTGAACCAACTCAACGTAATAAGGCACGACTAAGTGCATTTCTAGTCAGACAAAAATAAGCTAGATATGTAATAAGCGAAGTAAGAAATGCACATATACACTCAAACAAAAACAACCACGATATGAGCGAATGATTGACAAGGTCAAAAGACAAGTGTGAATAATGACTCGGATAGAAAAAAGTTAATTAGCTAGACCGAAAGCTTGGACAAGCTATATGAGCTCAACATACGAGTACGCACACACTACATATTTCACTGTCTTCATCTGATCTTGTTCGGCTAACATCTCCATGGGTTGATCTGATGAATTAAGGCCATTAGGATGCACTGAAGCAGGTTGGAATGATATCGAAAAGGCTGTGGAAACAGCAGTGATATCTGCTAGTAAGGTAAACCAAAAGGCTAGAATGAAGCCGTGGATTTTAGTCGCATCCACCGAACTGATGGATGCTCGAAAACTCATCCTACCTGGCTCTGAACATGAAGAGGAGCGAAGTCAGCTTAGACGCAGACTGATAAAAAGCCTACGTAACGACGCGAACAGTGGTGGGTGGTGAAAGCAAAAGCGATGGAAAAGGCAGCGGCGATAGGCAACAGTAGACAAATTTTCCGCCTTATCAAAGAAACCGGTATTAGGAACCCAAATGTGAGTGAGACTACTTCGAAAAAGGATGGTCCTATTATCCATTCTCAATCCAGGAGACTGGGCCGATGGGCAGAACACTTTAGGGATCAGTTCAACTGGTCTTCAGCCACACGTCGGTTGCCTACGATACCCAGTCATCCTGAATGGCCACTCGATTTAAGTCCTCCTAGTCTACATGAAGTTGAGAAAGCTATGAGAAATCTAAAGGGGAGTAGAGCAGCAGGTCTTGATAGGCTTACCCCTAAGACGTTTAAGGTTGGTGGTCCAGTTCTAACAGTTAGACTGACCGAGATCTTAGGTGGAATATGGGAACTGAACGTAATCCCATCTGACTGGTCTCAATCCGAGTAAGCAATGCTATCGTTAGGAAACGGGTGCTAGGTAAGGATGGCAGATCAATAGATGAAGTAATGAAAGTTCATCAGTTGAGGTGGTTGGGACATCTGTTACGAATACCTAACCACCGAATGCCTCGACGAGCTATGTTTTGTGGTGTAGGAGTAGGTTGGAAGAAAGCTAGGGGCTGCCAGACCAAAATATGGCAGAAATCCATGAAGTCACTGACAAGTGGACTGAGTCATGTTGGTAGATGTAGGCTACCTGGTTGGGATCTGCAAGACGAAAGTCACCAATGGTTAGAGACCTTGAATGACATGGCTCAGAATCGTTTGCAATGGCGCAAGTGCATTCATTCTTTGAGCTCTCTCAAATCCTAATCTTCTGAATTCCTCAACACCTCTAGTTTCGACTTTCTTAACTTATATCACTGAATCATACTTCTTGAATAATATCTTCAAACCCTAGTCTTCTTCATTACCATTAATACCTTTACTATCTCTGTCGCTATAGGATTTGATTTGACATTTGCGTCTCTGTGCTAATGTGGTATGGCAACCTGAACTTATGTACATATGTACAAAGTTTTACGTTGCAACTGACGTGACGTGACATTAGGATACAAAACTGATTCAACACTAATGGTATGTATACCTATGAAACAAACTCTCCCTTACAACTAATCAGTTCTGATGATAATGTTGCGCAGAATGACAATGAAAGCTTGAAAAATTGGACAATTTAGATGTGAGAGCTCAAATAACTACTTTTTTATGCCGAAAAAAACCATACAACATATTACTTACTTCTTTCTTTTCAACATTATACAATGGAGAAGTTGGATAAAGAACAGCTTTTTGAGCGAACCAAAATGTTACACTTAAATTTAACATAGTTTTAGCTGAACACTATAAATACCATCGAATATATTTTTTATTTTGAGGAAATAACAAAAAAAAAGAATGAATAATTAAGATAATTTTGAGTAGTAAATATCTATTAAGTATTTTTGAACATTTTCAAACTAGTTTGAGTGATATATAACAACTTAGAATCAATCAATCAATCAATTAATTAATCACTCTTCATCTTTGATTCGATTTGAAATTAAAAAGTCTATTTAGCTTAAAATTGGTTTTTACTACGCAAATTTATTCCTTTTTCTAAAGTTATATTCTGTTAAGTTTAATATTTTCAACTATCCCTCATACTGGTACAATTCCCATTACACTGGCGTTTGTATTGAGAAGTTCATCGCTCTATACTGGCATTATCTGACAACTTGTGGTTTAGAGTATTCTTTACGAAAAGAGAATATCCACTCAAAAATTTGTTGATTTGTACGACACATGAATATATATTCATATGCTCATTGGTACTAATACATATGTTAGAAATCATGAATCAGTCAGTGTTAGACAACCATTAGATACCTGGAAGCACTGGACGACCGTCCTGGTATGGGACTCATCGGCAGTGCGCATCCATGATTTCTGCTACTCGCACGATTCGAACCCATTGGAGTCTGAGCCTGTTCGGGTGTGAAGCAGTGTTCACTGAATACAGTGGATGAAGTTGCGCAAGACAGTGGATTGATCGAAATTAGACACCACTGGATGCCGGCTCAGTGGTTCAGAGGTTAACCTTTCAAGTGCACGAGCGAAGGTCCTGTGTTCGAACCCTGCGAATATCTGGAGTCGCAGATGCGTACAGCAGATTGAGTCCCATACCAAGACTTCATGTCCATCTAGTGCTCCAAGGTTTCTAATACTGGTGGTCTAACATGCATCGATTCATAATTTTAAAGTAACTCAACAATCTACACACAACCTTATAATAAATAGTTTATGTGTTTAACTAAATGAAATAAATCTGTTAATAAGATATTTGAAAAAAAAATTAAGAATGCGAGAATACAGCTCATTTCATTTCGTTGCATCGAATTGATAAATTAATCAATTTCCATTAACTAATTAACGACGATTGCTATCAATAGTACATAACTATAAGCGAATTATTATTATTATTAATAATATTATTATTAGTAGTAGTAGTAATAGTAGTAGCAGTAGTAGTAGTATTGATTAAAAGAAACTATGAAATAAAAGTCATAAACAATAGCATGATAAACGCCTTTTTTTCTCTTGAAACTGTTATTACACAGCTGATATTCATGGAAACCATGAAAATATTAGTGAGAGAAATAGTTGAAAAAAATTCTAGCAAGTTTAAGATATATTTGTGTATGGTTGGAAACTGGTTTGTTAAAAAAAGAGTGTTGGGAAAACGAGATGACTAACATTCGTGTTTCACTAAAGAAACACAAAACAATTCAATCCGTGGTTAGTATGTGTCATTATGATGTATTGTAAGCGAATGATGTAAACGATGCACGAAACATGGCCAGTGAGAGTAGACGACATTCGTAGGTTACTAGTCTTCGATCATAGGTGTATCCGAAGCATTGCTCGTGTATCCTGGGACAACCGTATAAGCAATGCTATCGTTAAGGAACGAGTTCTAGGTAAAGATGGCAGATCAATAGATGAAGTAGTGAAACTTCATCAGTTGAGGTGGTTGGGACATGTGTTACGTATGGCTAACCACCGACTGCCTCGACGAGCTATGTTTTGTGGTGTAGGAGTAGGTTGGAAGGAAGTTAGTGTCGGCCAAACCAAAACATGGCAGAAATCCACAAAGTCACTAACAAGTGGACTGAGTCATGTTGGTAGATGTAGGCTACCTGGTTGGGGTCCGTGAGGCGATAGTCACCGATGGTTAGAGACTTTGAACGACATGGCTTAAAATCGTTTGCAATGGCGCAGGTGCATTCACTCTTTGGGTTTTCTAAAATTCTAACCTTCTGCATTCCTCATAATCTCTACCTTTCTCCTTCTAAATTTATCTTACTGAATTATACTTCTCTGATTATATCTTTGCTCCCTAATCTTCTCCATTACCAGTAATTCTTCTACTATTTCTACTACTATGTGAGTTGAACTGACAGTGGCATCTCTGTGCTAATTAGGTATGGTAACTTGAACTGATGTGCATACTCACGAAGTTCTGCGCTGTCGCTGACTGTCTGACTTTAAATTTCGCACACAATCTACATACACATAAATATGTTCAAATTTTAATTCCACTCTTTCGTATAACAAATTCTACACTTTTTTTATTCACTATCATATACAAACAAATACACGTAGTGATGTCTCGTACCAAAATCACCTTGGTGAAAGAGAAATTTACATGACATTGATGTAATTGGATTTTTCAATCAGAATTATGCAGATTGTCGTTTTTACACATTGAAATCATCAATCAATCATTGTTAGACCACCGTTAGAAAACTGGAAGGATTGAACAGCCATTTCATCCTGGTAGGGGACTCGTCAGCACTACGCATCCATGACTCCTACTACTCGCAGGATTCGAAACCATGACTTCCGGTCTTGCGCGCGAACGCCGATCATCTGAACCACTGGGCCGTCATCCAGCGCTCTTAATGTCTTACTCTGATTGATCTAGAGATTTCGCGCGACCTCACCTATTTGTCTTTGATAGTTACTGCCTACACCCAACAGGGCTGAACTCCACACTGGTCACGTTTTCTCACTAGAACTACGAGAATTTCCTCGCGAAGCTAGTCACTAGTGAGGTGCAGGCGTCATAGATGCGCACTGCTGATGAGTCCCATACCAGGAAGAAACGGCCGTCCAAACGTTCCGGGTTTCTAATAGTGGTCTAACAATGATTGATTGATGATTTCAATGTGTATAATTAGATTTATTTTAACATGAATTTAAATAAATATCTTGCTTTATTCGTTTTGTATGCACTAATTAAACTCTAATTAATTTAATTGGATCATTCATTTATTTACTCTTGAAGAAGTAGTCTACATTAAGTGATAAAATGTTAGAAATCCAAATTTCTACTCATTGGAATATCAGTCAAATATATGATTATTTTCCCATTAACTGTAAATAGTTTTTTAACTGATATTAACCAGTGACAAAACCTGTTTATCAATATCATTCTTATAGTGGGCAAAACTATCTAGCCGCCTGGTTGAATATCTGGTCAATATTATGGTCGTCCTAACTATCAATGTCACAGACTTTGATGTTGTTTCCTATTCGACCTAACTGTATAAATACGCATTATCTGTAACGTTTTATGACCTAGACCCGGATTCCTAGTCCGGGATGCTGATTCTCTCCTGTGTGTTTGTAGAACACACGTCCTACTTCATATCAAGTATTCTTTTTTTAACTTAATGGGTGTTTGGGACAATCGGGTTAGAATAGCATGTCGTGTCGCCGGATCCTCGATCCTCGTTCTCGTTTCCCGACTAAGCATATCAAATGACGTGTTCACGCGCATGCGTAACAGAACGCCACATTGTACTAAGCATATAATATTGGATAGAGCTATTATTATTATTATTATTATTATTATTATTATTATTATTATTATTATTGCTACCACTAACAAAGTACAAAGAAATAAAGCAACATTCCCTTTCTCTCCACTACCGTAAACTGTACACACATACCTCAATGCATGTTTCCACTTCAGAATATTCAGACATTAATGGAAGCATTTTCTACATTGAAATAAATAAAAAAAATAAAATTGATGTGATCAGTATTCAAAATAATAAGTTCAAAAGAAATAAAACTTATATAAATTCAGTAAATGTTTAATAATAACGCCTCTCTTATCATTATCAATCACTAGTGATGAACTTTCATTGATGATGATCATATATGACTTCAAAATAAGAGTTACAAGTGTAATGAACGAAGATGCTAGGACCAGATAGAATAAGCGATTTACTTACAGAATATACAGCTTACTAATGTGTACACCTTATGTTCAGAGTTCCATTTGCAAAAAAAGTAGACCATTTAAATGTCTTCTAGTTTTCATACATCCGGATTCCACACAGTTTACTTCAGCAACAACTTTTGGGCGACACTCCGCTGCATACCACTTATAATATATATATATATATATATATATATATATATATATATAGTCATTTTATCTCAGTTCAGAAGCTATCTCAACAATAATTCGCTGTTACAGTGCAGGCTGGCGATCTCACTGATTCTGGCGTTCAACTTTGAATCATTAAGTCCCAGATTCAAACTCTGCATCAACTATATTTCTATTTAAACAACCTGGTACTTCTGTAAGAGCTGTACTCTATTTGTGAGTACTCATGATACTAGATGGTTAACCTGAGTCGAAGAAGGTAGGGCAGAGTTCGAACCTGAGACTA